GACAATTCACAATCGATTCAACCGATTCCACCGCCCCTCCCCCCTGCGCTCTGACCAACTCTCCTCCGGCGTGACGTCTCTCGCGACGTCCCGGACGGGACGCGACTTTGACGGCCCCAACCTCCGACGGACGGACGGACGGAGCGCAGCTCAGCGCGCCCGGCTGGAGGAGGCCTTCCTGGGCGAGCCTTACCTGGACCCGCGTGGACGCCTGCTGCTCGCGTTCGCCATCAACATTCCGCCGCAGAAGGTCAAGGTAACTCTCCCGCCACCGTCACCAACCACGTGGCAGAGGTCGCAACCGGGTACCCGGCTACCCGTACCCTGGTGCGGCCGGGTACGGGTAGGCCGTGAGTCACTGGTGAGTCACCGTTTGTCACTCATTTCCCAACGTCTTGTCTCTTCTCACAATTCAAGTTCCTAGAATCAACCCACCCGCGCCTGCAACATGGCTTCATCCCAGAGGTCGCAACCGGGTACCCGGTACCCGTACCCTACCTGATACCCGGCCGGGTACGGTTAGGGTACGGGTACGGCCGGGTACGGCCGGGTACAGGTACGGGTAAGGAATCAAAACCCGTTTGCGACCTCTGCCACGTGGTGGTAACCTCAACGCCAGGGTGGTAGGAGCAGAAGTAGGTGTTGACTTTAGTGACCGATCTTAGCGGATACGGGGTCGTGTCAGGGTGTTAGACCATCGCTACGGATCTTAGCGGATATGGGGTCGTGTCAGGGTGTTAGACCATCGCTACCGATCTTAGCGGATATGGGGTCGTGTCAGGGTGTTAGACCATCACTACCGATCTTAGCGGATACGGGGTCGTGTCAGGGTGTTAGACCATCACTACCGATCTTAGCGGATATGGGGTCATGTCAGGGTGTTAGACCATCGCTACCGATATTAGCGGATACGGGGTCGTGTCAGGGTGTTAGACCATCGCTACCGATCTTAGCGGATACGGGGTCGTGTCAGGGCGTTAGACCATCGCTACCGATCTTAGCGGATATGGGGTCGTGTCAGGGCGTTAGACCATCGCTACTGATCTTAGCGGATACGGGGTTGTGTCAGGGTGTTAGACCATCGCTACGGAACTTAGCGGATACGGGGTCGTGTCAGGGTGTTAGACCATCGCTACCGATCTTAGCGGATACGGGGTCGTGTCAGGGCGTTAGACCATCGCTACCGATCTTAGCGGATACGGGGTCGTGTCAGGGTGTTAGACCATCGCTACCGATCTTAGCGGATACGGGGGTGGTCCCCGCAGACACCGACACGCGTAGACCCGGCGCTCGCCGCTGGCTGGTTTTGTTGCTGCGCTCCGTGTGGCTCCTCGTCAAGATTTGGTTCCAAAACCGACGAGCCAAGTTGCGACGGCTGAGGCAGGAAGCGGCGTGGACGATGTACGGCGTCGCCACGGATACCGTCGCCACGGACACCGTCGTCACGGACACCGTCGCCACGGACGTCGTCGCCATGGACACCGTCGCCACGGACACCGTCGTCACGGACGTCGTCGCCACGGACGTCGTTGCCACGGACTTCGTCGCCATGGACACCGTCGCCACGGACACCGTCGCCACGGACGTCGTCGCCATGGACACCGTCGCCACGGACACCGTCGCCACGGACGTCGTCGCCATGGACACCGTCGCCACGGACGTCGTCGTCACGGACGTCGTCGTCACGGACACCGTCGCCACGGACGTCGTCGCCACGGATACCGTCGCCACGGACACCATCACCACGGACGCCGTCACCACGTCTACCACCACCACCGTCACCACCACCACGGCCACCACCACCACGGCCACCACCACCACCGTCACCAGCACCACGGCTGCAATGAGACGGTAATTGGCATCGGCTCGCTCTGCAAGTCTGCGGTGAGCGGTGAGTGGTGAGCGGTGAGCGGTGAGCGGTGAGTGGTGAGCGGTGAGTGGTGAGCGGTGAGCGGTGATTGGTGAGTGGTGAGCGGTGAGTGGTGAGTGGTGAGCGGTGAGTGGTGAGTGGTGAGCGGTGAGTGGTGAGTGGTGAGCGGTGAGTGGTGAGCGGCGAGTGGTGAGTGGTGAGCGGAGAGCGGAGAGCGGTGATTGGTGAGTGGTGAGCGGTGAGTGGTGAGCGGTGAGTGGTGAGCGGCGAGTGGTGAGTGGTGAGCGGAGAGCGGAGAGCGGTGATTGGTGAGTGGTGAGCGGTGAGTGGTGAGCGGTGAGTGGTGAGCGGTGAGCGGTGAGTGGTGAGCGGTGAGCGGTGAGTGGTGAGCGGTGAGTGGTGAGTGGTGAGCGGTGAGTGGTGAGCGGTGAGTGGTGAGCGGCGAGTGGTGAGTGGTGAGCGGAGAGCGGAGAGTGGTGATTGGTGAGTGGTGAGCGGTGAGTGGTGAGCGGTGAGTGTCCGCAGAGCGTCCACCTGAGGCGTCATCCATCCCACGTCGATGAACAGACAAGTTGAGCCTCACAGCTCCGACTCGCCTCACACTCACGGGAGCCACAGTGGCTATGAGACGTTGACTTCCTCGCCTCGGATACAGGAGGTTGCATAGAGAATCCCCGTGGTCGCGTGGAGTCTCTGTGTATCTCCATGAGTCTCTATGTATCTCCATGAGTCTCTATGTATCTCCATGAGTCTCTATGGTACATAGAGATACATAGAGATGCATGGAGACCCTCGGAGACTCGTAGAGGTGCTTGCTGTGCCGTCGTTAGAGCAACGGCCGAACCTCCGCCTCCACATTTACAGACAGCAGCAGCAACAGCTGCAGCAGCAGCAGCGGCAGCTGTGGCAGCAGCAGCTGCTGTGGCAGCAGCAGCAGCAGGAGCTGCAGCAGCAGCAGCGGCAGCGGCAGGAGCTGGTGGTGGTGGTGGAACGCGAGATCCCCGCGCGCTCCGCCAACCCCTACGTGGGGAGCAGCACCGGCAAGGTGACCAGCGTACTCACTCCTCCTACTCCTCCAGCTACTCAACCTCCTGCTCCACCCCCTCCACCCCCTCCACCCCCCCCACCCCCCCCCACCCCCCCCCCCACCCCACCCCCCCCACCCCCCCCCCCCCCCCCCTCCACCCCCCCCCCCCCCCACCCCCCCCCCCCCCCCCCCCCACCCCTCCTTCCCCATGCCCACCCCACCCCCCACCCCCCACCCCCCCACCCCCACCACCCCACCACCCCCACCACCCCCTCCTCCCCTCCACCCCACCCCCCCTCCACCCCCCCACCCCCCCCACCCCCCCACCCCCACCACCCCCTCCTCCCCCTCCACCCCCACCCCCCTCCACCCCCCCCACCCCCCCCACCCCCCCCACCCCCACCACCCCTCCTCCCCCTCAACCCCCACCACCCCCTCCACCCCCCCCACCCCCCCCACCCCCCCACCCCCACCCCCCTCCTCCCCCTCCACCCCCACCACCCCCTCCACCCCCCCCACCCCCACCACCCCCTCCCCCCTCAACCCCCACCACCCCCTCCACCCCCCCCACCCCCCCCACCCCCCCACCCCCACCACCCCCCCCACCCCCACCACCCTCCCACCCCCCCACCCCCCACCCCACCCCCACCACCCCCCACCCCCACCACCCCCACCACCCCCCACCACCCATGCTCCCCCCCCCCTCACCCCCACAAGGCGATTCCTGCACTGCAGCAGCAACTCAAAGGTAGGAGGTTGAACCGTCGCCGTCACGGTGATGGGGATTATCTGAACGGGAACCGGGCCTCCCCTAGGTCGACTCGGCCTCAAACGAGTGGTTCCCCCCCGCCGGTTGGCGGGAACCCGCCGGTCACGACGCTCTCAAGCGCAGACGCTCGCACCGTCCGTGTGGTGGTGGCGGTGGTGACGGTGGTGGTGACGGTGGTGACCACAACCGCGGCTGCTTCGGCTGCTGTTTCTACGAGGAGCCCGTCCTGAAACAGGCCCTGGTCTGTAACGACGTTGCCGCACGCGACCGCTCCTTCAACATCGCCGCTGAAGTGAACCACTCAGCGCGGAACGGTGGCCACTACCACCACGGTGGTAGTAGTGGTGGTGGTGGTTGTGGTGGTGGTAGTTGGTATGATGGTGGTGGTGGTAGTTGGTATGATGGTAGTGGTGGTTGTGGTAGTGGTGGTGGTGGTAGTTGGTATGATGGTGGTGGTGGTGGTTGTGGTAGTGGTGGTGGTGGTAGTTGGTATGATGGTGGTGGTAGTTGGTATGATGGTGGTGGTGGTTGTGGTGGTGGTGGTGGTTGTGGTAGTGGTGGTGGTAGTTGGTATGATGGTGATGGTGGTTAGTATCATGGTGGTGGTGGTTGAGATTGACTTTCCACAGTGATGTATAATAAAACCTGTTACGAGTTCTACCTGCCTCGTGATTTACAATTGCATCTACGTACGAATAAGGCGCGCAGGTCCGGACAGTAATTACAACGTTTATTCTCATATTTATTATTATTAAACTCACGATATTTATACTCTTTGGTTCTTTCGGTAAAGTCACGTCGGTAGAAATCAAATCAAATAAATCACGACGTTTCGATTTGCAACACAAGCAATCGTCATTCGGGTGGGAAAACCGCAGCAAGAAATGTGTTTTGCTGAAGTGTGAGAAGGTTATATGGGTGGTGAGAGAAGGGGGGGAGCAAGGGAGGGGGGTAGGGGGTAGGGGAGCGTTGCGTGGACGCTAGGAGAGTGTGCGTGGGACTGCGGCAACATCGCCAGTGACTAGCTGCCAAAGCAGCAGCAATGCCAAACGGCGGGGATGCAATTGACTTGTCAAATATGACTAGTGGCCGTCAAATATGACTAGTGGCCGGCAAATATGATGGAACAACCATGAACAGTTAAGGTTTTACCTGGTTAATAACATCCTTCCAATGGTAATTGTTTTTTTACCCTTTTTATCGATGTTTGTGTAGAGGGAACAGCGGCTTGTGCGCTGCACTATGAACCCAGGAACCTGAGTTTGATGATTATCAGCCATTGCGAGCTACCCTGCACAGGGCCAAATACTTATTTCCCTCATGAAAATGCAAATCAATTTATAACATTTTTGACTTGCGTTTTTCTGGATTTTGTTATTCTGTCTCTCACTGTTCAAATAAACCTACCGTTAAAATTACAGACTCATCATTTCTTTGTCAGCGGGCAAACGTACACAATCAGCAGGGGATCAAATACTTGTTACCCTCGCTGTAACAAGCTGAGATTAGGAGCACTCCCTTTAAGAGTGTGCTCCTAACCTGAGCTCGTTACCTGTGTAAAAGACACCTGGGAGCCAGAAATCTTTCTGATTGAGAGGGGGTCAAATACTTATTTCCCTCATTAAAATGCAAATCAATTTATAAAACTTTTTTTGTTGTTATTCTGTCTCACAGAATAACAGTTCATATTGTGATGGCATCACGTGGTAATGCTTCACCTCATGTTTTAAATCTAGTACACAGTGAACATTGAACTGAAGCCGGACTTCAAAACATTCAATCGCAAATCAAATCCCAAATCTGTCACAAAATTCGCTATTTGACATTTTCCCCCAAATGCTACTGGGGGGAGGGAGGGAGGGGAGGGGAGGGGGGGAGGGGAGGGAGTAGGGAGGGGGAGGGGAGGGAGGAGGAGGGGAGGGAGGGAGGAGGAGGGGAGGGAGGAGGGGAGGGAGGGAGGAGGAGGGGAGGGAGGGAGGAGGAGGGGAGGGGAGGGAGGAGGGGAGGGAGGGAGGAGGAGGGGAGGGAGGAAGGAGGAGGGAGGGGGGGAGGGAGGGAGGAGGGGAGGGAGGGAGGAGGAGGGGAGGGGAGGGAGGAGGGGAGGGAGGGAGGAGGAGGGGAGGGAGGAAGGAGGAGGGAGGAGGGGAGGGAGGGAGGAGGGGAGGGAGGGAGGAGGGGAGGGAGGAGGAGGGGAGGGAGGGAGGGAGGGAGGAGGGGGGGAGGGAGTAGGGAGGGGAGAGAGTAGGGAGGGGAGGGAGGGAGGAGGAGGGGAGGGGAGGGAGGGAGGAGGAGGGGAGGGAGGGAGGAGGAGGGAGGGGAGGGGAGGGAGGAGGGAGGGAGGAGGGAGGGGAGGGAGGGAGGGAGGGAGGGATGGAGGGAGGGAGGAGGAGGGGGAGGGGAGGGAGTAGGGAGGGGAGGAGGAGGGGAGGGAGGGAGGGGGAGGGGAGGGAGGGAGGAGGAGGGGAGGGAGGAGGAGGGGAGGGGAGGGAGGGAGGGAGGGGGGGAGGGGAGGGGGGGTCACAAGACATCTAGAACACCGCCCGTGCAAGGAGCGTACGGCGCTGTTCACCGCGGCCCCTGAGCCCGCGCGCTCCAAGTACAGAGCTGTTCACCGCGGCCCCTCCGCCTGCCGCTGGGAAGACGCGGCTCGCCTGAGGCGGCTTCGCGCGCTTTGGGCTCCTCCTCAACCTCCTCGACCTCCTCCGACTTCTTCCTCCTCCTCGTCGTCCCTGTGGAGGGAGACGCGTGGAGGGTGACGCGGCCAACTCGGCTGACATCTCGCCCGGTGAGTTCCGTGCGTCGGGGAGCGGAGGTGGAGGAGGTGGTGGTGAGGGTTGTGAGGGTGGTGGTGAGGTTTGTGGTGTTCGTGGTGGTTGTGATGATGGTGGTGATGGTGGTGATGGTGAGGGTTGTGGTGGTTGTGGTGATGAGGGTTATGGTGGTGAGGTTTGTGGTGTTCGTGGTGGTGATGATGGTTGTGGTGGTGGTGATGATGGTGATGATGGTGATGGAAAGACAGCTTCTGACAGACCTGTTCTTCACCTGAGGACGGCTGCTTGCGTTGTGGCCGAAACGTCGTGAGAATTATTTTATTATGTTTTTTATTTTATTATTTCCCTTCCACGTGACTTTACCGAAAGAACCAAGAAGATGAATCCCTGCAGTCACGAAAGCTTTAAATCGAAATTTAGACCCGACATAGGTTTGATATCAAGTCAATGCCAGCAGGTATCTGCTGTGACCTCTACTCGGCTGATTCAGAACTCGCCGTACTACCCGGCTTCGCCCGGGACTCGGAGTCACCACACCCGGCCACCTTTGTCTCCCCAGCAGCGATGTTCAAACCACAACAGTTACTTGTTTGAGGCTGAGCCGACCTAGGGGAGGCGCAGGACCGGTTGAAATAATCGTCACCGGCGTTGGACGTGAACGGGAAGAATTGAACTCGGGACGCCGGGTTCGTAGCGCAGCGTAGCGCTAACCACTACACCACCGCTCCCCCAACAAACACACATACACAGACACTCGCAACGTAGACACACAAGGGCTCTACGTGTACTAACGACGCAATTAAACCACCCCCATCACCAGTTCATCACGAAGATTACGGTGCGATTAAGATGCATCGTACGCACGGCGTTTGCAAAACAATGACAGTCACCCTCTTAGTTCTTTCGGTAAAGTCACGTAGGTAAAAAATTTAATTAATAAAAAAACTAAAATCACGACGTTTCGGAGGCAACACAAGTCTTCGTCATCAGGTGGGACCGTCACAGCCAGATTTGCTGATGACGGAGACTTGTGTTGCTTCCGAAACGTCGTGATTTTTTGTTTTTTATTGTTTTATTTTTTATTAATTTTTATTTCATTTTTTACCTACTTGGTGACTTTACCAAAAGAACTAAGAGTATGAATCCTTGCAGTCACGAAAGCTTCAAATATAGAATTAATGACAGTCACCCGCAAAAAGCGTCGCACACAGAGAGAGGCTGTGAACAGTTTTGTTCACAAGTACGACCCTCATCTGCATATCCCGTTAATACAAAGACAAAGATCCCCACGTGCGTGTAGCCTTAACAGATTGTTGGGGCAAGTGCTGTCAGCGAGCACCTACGAAGGCCGGCACGGCACACTGGGGAGTTGGGTTGCCAGCACCACGCCCAGTGGAAGTATGAATATATATTGTTGACACACAGCACAAAGTACTCACTTGAGGCTGAGTCCACCTAGGACTCAGCCTCAAGTATGTGTGTGTGGCTGTGTGTGCGTGTGTGTCACTGTGTCTGTGTGTGTGGCTGTGTGTGTGTGTAGCTGAGTGTGTGTGTGTGTCACTGTGTGTGTGTGTGTAGCTGTGTGTGTTTGGCTGTGTGGCTGTGTGTGTGTGTGGTGGGGTGTATGTGTGTTGCTGTGTGTGTGGCTGTGTGTGGCTGTGGCTGTGTGTGTGTGTGGCTGTGTGTATGTGTGTGTGTGGCTGTGTGTGTGACTGTGTGTGTGTGTGGCTGTGTGTGTGTGTGGCTGTGTGTATGTGTGTGTGTGGCTGTGTGTGTGACTGTGTGTGTGTGACTGTGTGTGCCCACAGAGACACACAGAGACCCACAGAGACTCACAGAGACTCACAGAGACTCAGAGACTCACAGAGACTCAAAGAGACCCACAGAGACACACAGAGACCCACAGAGACTCACAGAGACTCACAGAGACTCACAGAGACCCACAGAGACACACAGAGACTCACAGAGACCCATAGAGACTCAGAGTCTCTGTGAGTCTAACCCCCCCCAAAATAACAAAAATCTATTTTAATAATTTGTGCACGGTGTACAGTCTGGAAAGTACCCACTTGGCAAATTTAAAGTTTGTAGCATGTCGGGAAGTACGCTAAACATTTTGAACAGACACACACATCCACAACTTTGCCTTTTATACAGATGGAGATGTGTGTGTGGTGACATCGGCAACGGAGGAAGGGAGGGGAGCGGAGGGGCGGGGAGGAGAGAGACGTCCCCTCGTGCGTCCGCGCCACCTCTCTGGAACCAGCGCAGAGACGGGGGGAGAACCTACAGGCAAGTGCTGAACCATTAATCGATTTGAAATCGATTAAAATCGATTGGAAATCGATATTAATCGATTTGAAATCGATTAATCGCAATGTGATGACGCAATAGGAGGCTGCGATATTTTGCGGGATTGCAAAGTCCGATTGCTTTATTGTTGGAATTGTTTTGTTTTTTGTATTATAACTTTATTTATTTAACTTAACGATTGTCCTATGTTTGATTTGTTCTATTTCAATTAAAATACTTTCAGAAATACATGTTGGAAGCAATTCATACATTTGAAGTTCTTCACCTTGCATTAGAATATATAGGGCAGTTCATATGTTGATGGTATCATGTGGTAATGCTCCACCGCATGATTTAAATCTATTACAGAGTGAATATTGAACTGAAGCTTGACTTCAAAAAATGTAATCGCAAATCAAATCGCAATATCTGTCAGAAAAATCGCAATTGGATATTTTCCCCAAATCGTTTAGCCCTAATGAGAGAGACACAGAGAGAGACATAGAGAGAGGGAGACACAGAGAGAGACACAGAGAGAGACACAGAGAGAGACACAGAGAGAGACACAGAGAGAGACACAGAGAGAGACACAGAGAGAGAGACACAGTAAGTGAGAGACACAGAGAGACACAGACAGAGAGAGAGAGACACAGTAAGTGAGAGACACAGACACAGAAAGACACAGAGAGAGAGAGAGACACACAGTAAGTGAGAGACACAGACAGAGAGAGACACAGAGAGTGAGAGACACAGCGAGACATAGGCAGAGAGAGATTGTTATTTTGTTATTAATTTCACATTGAACACCGTCACCTAAACGCGTTATCTGTTTACAGAAGGCGGTACGGAGGCCGCGTGGCGATGAGCGAGTCGAGATTCGCGTGGTGAGTGAGTCGCAGAGCCCCTGTCACGGCCACTCGCTCAGCTCCTGACGTACTCACCACGATCCACTGCGCGAGTTTAAGGGGAGACAGCAGCAGCAGCAGCAGTAGCAGGAGATGTTTCATCTCTCTCTCCCCCCCCCCATCTCCCCCCTATCCTCTCACCCCTCTCTCTCCCCCCTCTCTCTCCGCCATCTCCCTCCCTCCCCGCGTCTCTCCGCTGCCGAGTCAACGTCAAGAGGGGGCCCAGCGCGCTCCCCCAGCCTCCTCCTCCTCGCCACTCGGAGACGTCCATGCGGCCCCGCCGCTGATGTGGCGCCTCTCCCCCTCGAGGCGAGTGAAGTGTTGCCACCGCCGCTGATGTGGTGCCTCTCCCCCTCGAGGCAAGTGAAGTGTTGCCACCACTGCTGATGGCCGCCGGGTTGCTGCCACTCTGTGTTGTAGACGGGGGGGGGGGG